GACGACCGGTACGACCAGAACGAACAGGCGAGACAAGACGCGACGCAGGCTCACGACGCTCAGCAAGACTACCTGTCTGCTCAGTGTAAGGAGAAGGAGCAGGCAGCGGTGAGCCAGGCTGTAACGGAAGACCAGTAGACGACGGAAGAGTAAGAACCTGACGAAGAACAGAGTCAGGCGGCGGCAGAGACGACGGAGACGGCGGAGCAAAGAAAAGGCGCGTCGGTGCAGCGGTACCAGCACCAGCAGCTCCAGCACCTCCAGCAGCTCCAGGACCCCTAGCAGCGCCAGAAACTCCAGCGCCAGCACCTCCAGAACCAGCTCCATTAGCAGCAGCACCCCCAGAACCAGCACCTCCAGTCCCAGGGTCTCCAGCAGCAGCACCTCCAGACGCAGCACCTCCAGCCCCAGCAGCTCCAGTAGACAAAGTCTCAGCTCCACTCCGAGCTCCAAGGACGACAGCAGAAGTACCTCCACGAGCGCGAGCAGCGCGACCCTGACGGCGGCCGTACCAGTCGTGCAGCTGCTGTGAGGTGAGAGGTGTACGCGGACGTAGGCGGCTACTCCAAGGAGACCGCGCAGCAGTAGGCGCAGCACTCTCAGGCGCTGCATTGTCAGATTCAGCACCCCCAGGCTCCTCACGTGCAGGCTCAGCACCCTCAGACGTGGTACTTGCAGGCGCAGTACCTCCAGGCTCCTCACGCGTAGGCTCAGTACCCTCAGACTCGGCACCCCCAAGCTCAGCACCTCCAGGCTCCTCACGCGCAGGCACAGCACCCCCAGACTCCGCACCCCCAGGCTCAGTACCTCCAGGCTCCTCTCGCTCAGGCTCCGCACCCTCAGACTCGACACCCCCAAGCTCAGCACCTCCAGGCTCCTCACGCGCAGGCACAGCACCCCCAGACTCCGCACCCCCAGGCTCAGCACCTCCAGGCTCCTCTCGCTCAGGCTCCGCACCCTCAGAGACAGCACCCCGAGCAGGACCACCTCCAGCAGGACCTGAGTCACCAGTGACCTCAACAGGCGCAGGTACCGGAGGGTCTACCTGAGAAACACCTGAAGGAGCAGGACCTGGCGCGGGGAGGGGGTCTACCTGGGGAGGACCTGGAGCGAGAAAGAGCGGCGGGGGGGGGGGGCGCGAGAGGCTGTGCGGTAGGGAAAGAGGCAGTAGAAGGGAACAGACTCGTCAAAGGTGACGTCCTGAGACGCAAAGACACGGCGCGAGGTGGGGTCGTAAATAAACCTGCCAGCCAGGCGCGCCAGGAGGAAAACCAAGGAAGACGCAGGGAACAGTGCGAGCAGAGAGCTTGTCCGCGGTGAGATCGCGGACAAAGGCACGAGCACCCTAGACCCGGAAACGCGACGCATCGCCAACCTCCCCCGTCCACAACAGTGTGGGCGAGGTCTCCGGCAAGGAGACACGGGGCCAGAGGTTGAGCTGATGCGCGGCGTACCGGACTGCAAACGGCCACAGAAAATGGGGAGCCGCCGCATGGATCATGGAGGTACGGGCGACCTCCATGACTAAGCCAATGTGGCGCTCAGCAACCCCATTCTGCTGCGGAGAGGCCGGAAGCGTGAACGACTGGGTGATGCTGTGCTTGCTCCACACAGAAGGCTACCAAGAGGTCGGAGGAGAACTCACCACCTCTGTCAAAGTGCAGACGCAGGACAGGGAAGTCCCGCTCGAACCGCTCGCGGAGCTGGAGACGCACAGCGCGGATCCAAGGGATCAGGACAGCAGGGACATCCGCCTTGCGTCGCAAGGGGAAGACCGTGGTGTAACGCGTGTAGTCGTCGACAACCAGCAGGAAGTACCGCTCGCGGCCCTGACCCTGGACGGGGGCTGGGCCCCACACGTCCAGGTGAAGAGTCTGCAGCGGAGCCTCTGTGGGAGGGAACGAGGAGGAGTGAGGAGCGGCGCGCTGCCGCCCCTCGACGCAAGGAATGCAGGGCGGCGCAGGCGAGGGAGGGAGGGCAGGCAGAGACCTGGGAAGACCAGAGACCAGGGAGCGAGAGTGCATGCTCCGAAGGCGAGGCAGGGAGGGGTGACCAAGGCGGTGGTGCCACAGGAGAGTGTCGTGTGACAGGCGGCGACACTCACACTGGGTAGCTACCTGAGCAGACGCGTACAGCTGTGGAGACAAAGGAGTGTAACATGAAACAGTAGTGAGGGTGTACAGACTGGACCCCGGCTCACGAGTGAACGTGGCCAGGTGGCGGCCAGTCTTGGAGCACGTGCAGATCGCCACACGCTGCCCTCCAGGAGTCCAGGTGTCAACCCAGTGATCCTGAAGGACAGCGTTGCTCACCAGGTTCGTAGAGAACGAGGGAACGTGGAGACCTGACAGCTCACCAGACGGGACCGCCGGGCACGGAAGCACAGTCGTGGCTCGTGCAAGCACTGGGCCCCCAGAGGGGTCAGCCAGTGAGACAGGGACAGGTGCAGGGAGGGGAGTGACGGTGGTGCTATCGCGAAAGAAACAGCGGGAAGCACCAGAGTCAAGTGTAAACGTGTGCAAGGCCTGAGCCGACGCAGTACCAAGGGGAGCAGACTCACTGGCACCTAGGGCTGCAGCCCTTATACCGGGGTCAATACCAGGGTCAATACCAGGGTCAGGCGGCACACACAAGTAGCAGTCACCCTCAGTACTACAGTCATTGAGCTGCTGGGAGGTGAGGGGCTGACGCTGCTGCTGCTGCTGCTGCTGGCCACCACTGGGGCCACCCTTCTGGGCAGACCCTCCTCCGCTCCCACCTCCACCGCCACTGCCGCTGCCTCCTCCCCCACCACCTCCGCTGCCGCCTCCACCGCCCCCTGTCCTGCCGCCACCCCACCCACCGCCTCCACCCCCACGGCCACCCCCACCACCTCCACCACCCCCGCCGCCTCCACCACCGCTCCCTCCACCGCCACCTCCGCCACCCCTGCCACCCTTGCCGCCCCTGCCACCGCCGCGCTTCCCACTAGGAGCGGAAGCCGCTGCGACCTTCTCCGCACCGAGGAGGTCAACTGCAGTAGCAGCAGAGGCGTAAGAGGGGGCAAGAGGGGAGGGGGAGCACCCCTCAAAGAGGGGAGTGCGGGGAGTGCCACGAGCAGCACTAACAGCGAGGATGTTCTTCTCTGCTGCGACTAGCTGCTGCGCGAAGTCGTCCAGAGTAATATTGGTAGGATCCTTGGCTAGGAAGTGATCCCTGACAGAACGAAGAGTGTCGAGGATGTAGAGGGTGAAGTACAGCGGGGGGGTGTTCGTGGCGAGGAACTCGTCGGTAAGAGCGGCACGAAAGCGGGCGTCACTAGCGCGGAGGTGAGTGATAAGGTCGGCAGCAGTGTGAAACGAGGCTAAGTCTGGGAACAGGTAAGGCAGGATGAGACTACCAACGGTGGCTGTGGCTGGGGCGGAATAGCAGGCAACGACAGCGTCATACAGCTCCTTAGCAGGCTTAAGCTGGTTGAAATGCGCGCGCTCAGAGATCGGTAGGTGATTGCGAATAGCAAGGCGCGCAACTGCGTCGCAGATCTGCCACTGTGCTCGGTCAGGAGCAGTCTCAGCGGGAGTAGGGACAGTGCCAGTCACATAGTCTAGCAGTGAAGCTCCGTCTGCGACGTCAGTCATAAGGTAAAGCTGCAGATTACTAAGCCAGGTGTCAAACTCGATAGGGCGTCCGTCAGGCTCAAAGGCTAGAACAGAGAGGGTCGCCATGGTTGCCGCGCAGGCAAAGGTAGCAGGCTCAGGCAAGGCAGGCAGGCGCGCAAGGCAGGCAGGCGCTCAAGGCAGACTGACGCTCAAGGTAGGCAGGCGCCCAAGGCAGGCAGGCACTCAAGGCAGGCAGGCTCTCAAGGCAAGCACGCGCTCAAGGCAGGCAGGCAGGCAGGCAGCAGGTACAAAGAGATTGTGCACAGAGCCACAAAGGGAGCTTAAGGGCAGGTAAGGCGGCACACAGAGCAGCAGTCGGCTGCGCACGGGCTAGTAGGGCGCGGTGCGAGCTGCGCGGGCAGCGCGCTGGCTGCGTGCGGGCTGCGCGGGCTGCACGCGGGCTGCGGAGGCTGCGCGCGGGCTGTGCGGGCCGCGCGTGAGCTGCGCGGGCTCGGTGCGGGCTGCGCGGGCTCGGCGCAAGCTGCGCGTACGGTGCGCGGGGCAGCTGCGGGCCGCGCGCGGGCTGCGCGGGCTCAGGGCGGGCTGCGCGGGCGACGGACGGGGCGCGACGCGGCTGGCAGCAGCAGCGCGCGCAAGGAAAAATTGCGTGCGTGCGTAACCAAGGCGCGCGCGCGGGCAGCAGACAAGGCAAACAGGCAGGCACGGTAAGGCTGTATGTGAGGTACGAGTGGGCCCAAACTTAGGTCTTAGATCCTAGGAACCTGCTCTGATACCATGTTGAAGAGACTAGGCAAGGTTGGTTTGACTATCGAGAGAAATTGTACAAGTAGGAAAACCCTAAGGGGTTATACCCCACAGAATCTACCCCACTACAGCCTACCAATAACTACAACATATAACCTATATATGTTTAACAGTAGTCCGTTACCACTTCGCGAAATTCGCCTCAATACTCTTCTCGCCATTACGACCATCTCAACCAACCAACCAAACCACCTGCTGTCAAACCTACCGTGTGTTAATATACTAGATAGGCTGTAGTGAGGCATTTTTTAGGGGGTACAAATCCTATATCTCTCGACACTCTTGTACCACGCCCACATCGCTGGTCTACCGAATGTTTCTATAGGTACATAAGAATCTGAGATGATACCCGTATAGGTAAGTTGTTCCTAGCCTAGAAACGCGCCCAGTCCCAAGAGAGCATGGTGGCATGGTGGCGCAGAGAGCAAGACGCAGCACAGCGATGGGAAGGGGGAAAAACAGATGAAGCAGATGCCGCAAAGTAGGCAGAGCATGTCGGGCCAAGGCGGTTCACTTCCTGGCGTGGCAGGGCGCCTCAAAAGGTGGTGGAGGAGGAGGGGTGTGGTGTGGAACGGAGGGGTGTGGTGAGAAATGGGGTCACTTCCTGGTGGAGGCGGCATGGCGACGGAGAGCAGCGTAGAAAGCGAGGCGCAGCGCAGCGATAAACGCCACAATCACGAGCACGTTGCGCCACGGGCTCAAGCCTGTGAACCCCCGCGCGTCCAGATACGCTGCACCCGTGAGCCCACAAGCGTTGTTGGTGGCGGATGCAGTGTAGCCGACGCCGGCAGCAGAGGTGAAGGTGGAGAAGCATGTGGGGCCGAGCCCGTGGTGGAACTCGGCCCAGAGCAGCAGCTCCATGGGGTAGCGCATCAGACTGAGGTAGTACAGCCACAGCCAGTACCCCGGGATGGCCGCCCTGGGGGGAGGGGGGAGGGGGGAGGTGAAACACATGGAGCAGCGCATGAGGTAGTGCATGAGACACAGGTTGTACAACCACAGCCAGTAAGCTGGTATGGCTGATCTGGGGGGAGGGTTGGGAGGGCAGGGAGGGCAACTAAAGATGCGCAAAAGGGAAGTGGATGCACAAATAGGGCAAACTGAGATAGCAAGGAGGGAGATGGGCAGGAGATTGCTGGCGAGGGGAGGGGGCTGACTTGGAGAAGAAGAAGCCGGAGAAGAGGAGGAAGAAGGAGAAGGAGCTGCTGGCCACTGTGGCGGCCACCATGTGTGACGGCAGCAGCGCCGACAGCAGCGTGACAAAAGCGTTGGCGAGCGCAAAGGCGAGGCAGAGCGTGGCGAGGAAGAGCAGGAAGGCGGAGGCGGAGGGCGCGAGCCCCACCATCCAGTAGAGCGGCGCCGCCAGGGCCAGCGAGAGCAGCAGGAAGAGCGGCAGCGTGGTGAGCGTGGTGGCCACCACGTAGGGCGCCGTGCGGTAGGCACCTCGTGAGGTCTCCCGCGTGAAGATGGTTCGCTCCTGGTGGAGAGCGAGGGAGGGAAATGGGTAGGAAGATGGGATGGTTAACATTAAGTAGGAGTGAGGTACAGGTAGGAGTGAGGTACAGGTTGGAGAAAGGTACAGTTGCATGCAGGGGCAAAAGAGGTGCAGAGGGCCTCACGAGGTAGAAGAGCGGCAGGGCGTCGAGGGAGTTGTAGAAGACGAGAGCGATGGTGAAGCCCAGCACTGCGAAGCGGCTCTGCAGCCCCGCCATGTCCATGCCCACAGCGCGGAACAACGACCCCATTATCACCCCCATCGCCACCTGCCATGCACTCAGTCATGCATGCATGCAGGGAGAGGGTGTGTTTAAAGAGGGTGGGTACGGTGGAGAGGTGGTGAGGGAAGAGCGACCCCATGATGACCCCCATGGCCACCTGCCATGTGCATGCATGCATAGAGGTGGTACGGTGGGGGGAGGGTGGGGAGAGAGTGCGGTACGATGGAGAGGCGGTGCAGCACGTGGTTGGTGCGGGGAAGATGGTGGGTCGGACGGACGTGCGATGAGAGGGAGGGTGGGGAATGGTAGAGAATGGTGGAGAGGCAGTGAAAGGAGAGCGGCCCTGTGGTCAGCCCCCGCATGAGTGTGAGGGCACAAAAGGTGGGGAAAAGCAGGAGGTGGCTGCTGTGCTGTGAGTGGGATGGTGAGCAGAGAGGCTTGGAAAGGAGCAACACGAATGCAACAACAAGACAGTGGCGTGCATTGAGAAGGGCGAGCAGGGGGGAAGGGAACGGTGGGAAGGGTGGCAAGGCCGGGAAGGGTGGGAAGGAGCGGGTGGGAAGGGCGAGAAGGGTGGGAAAGAAGGGGTGGGAAGGGCGGGAAGGGTGGAAAGGGTGGGAGGGTGTTATGGGCTACGAGTGAATAGGAGCGGGGGAAGGGAAGCAACGGACCATGACGAGGAGGCGGGAGAGCAGCAGGTCGGGGCTGCGCAGCAACACGAGGCAGCAGCGGTGCGTGAGTGTCACCGTCTCACTCACGGCGCTCGTGGCGTACTCCCACTCGCCCACCGCCTTCCCCTCCCCCGCCCTCTCCCCCCCATTCCCCTCCGCCCCACTCCCGCCCGCCTCACTGCGCCCACTGCCCTGCCCCCCGCCCCCGACCCCCAAGCACCGTGCCCCCCCTGCCAGCAGGTTGCCAAGCTTGTGCTTCAGCGTATCCCCCAGGGCGAGGGTTGCAGAGGGGGCGTCTGTGAGGGCCTCTGACTGCTGCATTGGGGAGAACACCAAGTGAGACGGTGCAGAGAAACGGAGCGTGAGGTGGTGGGCAGTGGGGCCGGCAGGAAGGGCGATGTGAACAAGTCTAACAACCCTAGGAGCGATTCAGGAAACGAAACAAGTTCCACCTGCTCAAGAAAGATTCAGGATATACAACAAGAAGAGGCTCGATGAAGCTACAGTCCTCGACAAGTTAAGCTTGTTGGGAAATGGGGGCTAAGGGCCAACCCAACCCAGCCATGTGGTGTGCGGTGGGCAGGCAAGACACACAAAGTTGGATCCCCCATCACCCCGTGGCTCCCCCATCACCCCGTGGCTCCCCCATCACCCCGTGGCTCCCCCATCACCCCGTGGCTCCCCCATCACCCCGTGGCTCCCCCATCACCCCGTGGCTCCCCCATCACCCCGTGGCTTCCCCCATCACCCCGTGGCTCCCCCATCACCCCGTGGCTCCCCCATCACCCCGTGGCTCCCCCATCACCCCGTGGCTCCCCCATCACCCCGTGGCCCCCCCATCACCCCGTGGCTCCCCCATCACCCCGTGGCTCCCCCATCACCCCGTGGCCCCCCCATCCTCAAACGGGTGCTTACCCACTGCACACTCCAAACTCGAACATGCACGCAAGGGGAACCAGAGTAGAGAAGTGGCAGAGTGGTGCTCACCTTGGCCCGAGCAGCAGCAGCAGCGAGGCGGGGCAGAGTGTCGAGGGCGAACTCTAGGAGGTTCACCTGCCACCACGCAATGGGGGTTGGGACTTGTGCTCTTTCTGCATGCGTGATGGGCAGGATGCATTTTTTTCCTACAGCACTTTTTACTTCAACACAAGCGTAAACGCCCGAGCTTGTTGCGAAGGTCAGTGTACAGCATGTGGTGAAGAGGATAGCCAAATGTTGGAGGGTTTCTGCGCTCACTTGATCTGCGCTGTGGAGACCCACGGCAATGCTGACAGCAACACCCACGCTTACCACTGGCCTGGCATGCAGCGCTCCACACAACTGCCTCTTTGGACTGCCACTTACATGCAGCACAGCATAGGGGTCTCATGGGGGGGAACGGGGCGTGGGCTCACATGAGGGGGCACGGGGTGGTGCAGCGCTGCGAGGTGGCAGCGCAGGGCGGGCGTGGCGCCGTGGAAGGCGACCTGCCCGCTGACGAGCAGAGCCATGCGGTGCAGCAGCGCCGTGACGCGGAAGGACGGCTGGTGAATCGTCAACACCACCGTGCGCCCACCCTGTGCGCGGTCAAGGGGTTGAGAAGGAGGATTGGAAGGTTTGGGGGGCGGGGATTGGCGGATGGTGAGCAATCGTGTGTGGCGGGCGGTGCAGCCGCAATGAGGAGCGCCGTGATGCGCAAGGACGGCTGGTGGTTGGTCAGCAGCACTGAGGGCAAGGCGTGGCAGGGGGTTGAGACGCTTTGGGGGGCGGGGATTGGTGGATGGTGAGGAGAAGCAGTGTGTGCGGCGCGTGCAGCAGCAAGGAGCAGCGCCACATGCTCCTTGGGCCTTGGGCTCTGTGGGAGGGCGAGGAGGGATGCGGTGGCTAGAAAGACAGAGCCAGCAACGGCGGCGCGTGTAGTGACGATATGCTCACAGGAGGAGAGAGCAATAGGGTGATATGCGAGAATGAGTGTTTGAGGGGTGAGCGTTTCCCCTTGCTTGCACCCTGTATCATCGGTACAGCATGCCATTGAGGTAGGAATCTGTAGCCCTCCTCGTGTTCCCCATGTTGCTTTCCTCCTTGCCACCTCACCAGCCATCTGCTGCAGCAACTTGGTGATAAAAAACAAACACCTGAGGAAACACCGGGTAAGCACCTTACAAGGCACCTGAAGCACACCTGAGCACGAGGGCACACCTGAACCGCCATGCTGTGCAGCAGCTGCACCACCTTGAGCGCCGACGAGCTGTCCAGCCCTGCCAGTGCGGTGAGGTGCGGTGAGGTGCGGTGAGGGGTGGTGAGGTGCGGTGAGGGGTGGTGAGGGAAGTCGAGGGGCAGCGAGGAGAGTTGAGGGGCGTGGTACGGGAGAGGCACGTGAGAGAATGAGCAAGGAACAAGCAGGTATGGGTGGCGCTGTCAGCAAGGAAACAGTAGACGCAGGAGGACTGAGCATACAGTGCGAGGGGCGGAGAGGGCAGAGGAGGCGGAAGGGAGGGGACCTGAGGTGGGTTCATCGAGCAGCAGCACGGCGGGGTTGTGGATGAGCTCCACCGCGATGGACGTGCGCCGCCTCTCCCCGCCAGACACCCCCCGGTGCTGCCATGGGAAAGGGAAGGGCACAGGTGGTGGGAAGGGGATGAAGTGTGGGAGGAGGTGTGGGAGGAGGTGTGGGACAGGAGACGTTTCAGCAGAGCAGAGCGAGGGATGGAGTGAGTGTGCAGGCACACGGTCGAACCCGTCACGAGGCAAGGCAAGCACCCACATGATCGCCCCACCCACCAGGTCGTCCCCCACGGGTGTGTCGGCGCACGCGGTGAGCCCCAGCTGCTGCAGCACCTGCTGCACACGCCTCTCCCTTTCGACCGGCGTGACGGTGGCTGGCAGGCGCAGGCGGGCGGCGAAGTCCAGCGTCTCACGCACTGACAGGAGGGCAAATAGAGCATCGTCCTGGTGGGGGATGGGGGGAAGGGGGGAGGGCATTGTTCAATGAGCAGGGACGCTTTCTACGAGGCAGGGAGGACACAGCACAGGCATCTAGTTGCACCACACCACACCCACCTGCTGCACACACCCACACCCACCTGAGGTGACTTTTGAGTCGACTCTAAACCCAGCTGCATCCCACCCCACCCACCTGCAGCACACCCCACCCACCTGCAGCACACCCCACCCACCTGCAGCACACCCCACCCACCTGCATCCCACCCCACCCACCTGCAGCACGTAGGCGGAGTGCTTGCGGAAGCTGGGCGGCATGGGGCGGCCGTTCACCAGGATGCACCCCGACAGGCTGCCCGGGTCGATGCGGCAGCCAATGGCGTCCAGCAGCGACGTCTTTCCGCTGCCCGAGGGCCCGGCCAGCGCGAGCAGCTGCCCGGGATGAGCCGCCACACTCACTCGGTGCAGAATGGTGCGCCCACTGGCTGCCTGGTGGGGGAGGGAGGGAGAGATGGGTGGTGGGGAGGGGAGATGGGAGGAAGAAGAGGCGTGGGTGGTGGAATGAGATTGGAGCAGCGCACATGGTTTCAGGTGCATTCACAGCCTCCCTCACTCCCCACACACATCTCAATTCCCCGCGTAACCCTCAACCCCCAACGCACACCCTCACGCCCCACCCCACGGCGCACTGACGGTGTATGAGAGGTGGTTGGTGCGCACGTGGAACTGCTGCACCACCCGCCCCTCACCGCCAACCTCCCCCCCGCCACCTCCACCGCCACCCCACCACGCAGCACCGTCGCCTGCAGCACCCCCGTAATGGTCCACAGCAGCAGCAGCGGCAGCAGCAGCAGTACCGGGGCAGGAGGCGGCGGGCATGATGATGGGCGATCCGAACGGCCGCCGGGTGGCGCTCACGCTCATGCCGCTGCATATCTCTGTGCTGACGTCACTGCTGATGTCCGCGCTGACGTCACCGCTGGTGTCAGCAGCCAGCTCGACCCACGGCTGCGCGGGAGAGACAGGCGAGACAGGCGGGGCGGAGGACACGGAGGAGACAGAGGACACGGCGGAAACGGCGGGGATGCCGGAGGCGGAGGGCGCATGGTGGTGGGGGGCGTGGCGGTGGCGCATGACGGCGGCGCACGCCGCCACGTACTCCTCGCACATGCGCGCGCCCTCCGCTGCCCACCCTCCGCCGCCCTCCGCTGCCCGCCCTGCGCGTCCAGCCTCGCTCTCCGCATCAGCGCTGCCCTCCTCGCTAAGCGCATCCTCGTTAAGTGCGCCCTCCGCGCCAGGCGATGCGTCCGTGGCGCACGGGAAGGGGTCGTCGGCGGTAGGGGCGGCGGGATCGGCGGGATCGGCGGGGGCGACGAGCGGGGCGAGCGAGGGGGTGGGCGACGCGAACGACGCGAAGCACGCGAGGTGCCGCGCGACGGGGTAGAGGTGGCGCGCAGCCATCGACGCCGCGAGACGCAGGCAACAGCTAATTACTATCCAAGTCTAGTAAGGCGCTGCTGCGAGCAGGGCTGTCTAACGAACAGGGAGTGGGCAGCCTATTGTTCGCTCGCACAGGGATACGAACATGAGAAGACGCAAAAGGCGACGGAAAATCAGTCCTGTTGTGGTGCTCCAAAGGCCTTGATCTGCCTCGCCGCAGCACGAGCATCCGACAACACGAGCGGCGGCCAGCACAGCGATGGAAAGCGCGCTTCTCTATTTCCGATGTGCGCACCGAGCAGCGTGGCCCCGCGACATCCGTGCCACGCGCCCTCCGCATCTACCCGCCCCCCCTCACCGTCGCTCCGCCCATTCTTCGCGTTCTCGCCAAGAAAAGCCAAAATCTACGAGATCCAGCGAGAGCGATGGGGGAACGGGAGGGCGCGGCGACATCAAACGGAGGCAGGCTGTCCCACTCTCTACCCGCGCGTCGCCGCTGACCCATCAGAGGCCAACTAGCGGTGTGACGGTCGCAGTCGAAGGCGGAGCGGCGGAGGGTGCTGCGGTGGTGGTCCATCGCAACGCGCGACGGTGACTGGCGGGTAGAAGGCGCTGGTCCGCCTCGATAGTGACGAGACGACGAGTGGAGGCGCGCTCAAGGAGCGATGGAGACTGGCGAGGCAAGAGTCGAATGGTAATCGGATTTGTCGCCGTGACAAGCAATGGTCAAATCAGTGAATCTCCGCTAAAAGCAACTCGAAGGTGTGGTCAATCTGGCAAGAGAGCTTTCAGTGTCTGATAGCTATAACAATGAAGGGATAAAACATCCCCAAAACTCAGAGACCCTCCTTTCTATGTTCTCCACATGCAAGCACCTGCCAGCAAGCACAGGCCAGCCGTTACATGAATTGCACATACATCATAACACTATATTAGCTGTACAGTACAGGCGCAGTCACTTTTATTAGCGTGCCTCTAAAGGCGCGCATGCATACAAGTACCGTGCACCACCATCGCATTGCTATCAACCGTGCGAGCCCAACAGCTTGCACAACTACCTCAACCCCCAAACTGCTCGGCACGAGCAAATCTTCCGGCATTTCCACCCCACCGCCATCCACTCCGCCCTTTGCCATCTCCACCTCCACCCATACTGCATGGGCCGCTCGAGATGCTGGGCACGCCCCTCTACGGGAGGTATCTCCTAGGCTACAGCACGCGGTGCAGAGTGCAGAGGGGTGGGGTCAGTTGAGCGGCAGGACGCGGCGCACTTGGATGTGGTGGGTGGACTCGGAGCGCCAGATGGGCTGCCGCCCGCTCTGCACCAACGCCACGTCCTCACCCGGCTGCACCATGCCCCGCTTCTGCGCATGGGGAATGCATGGGGGGGGGCAGGGCAGGCGCAGGGGAAATATGGGGTGAGTGGAAATGATGGGTGAGTGGAGGGGATGGGCTGCACCATGCCCCGCTTCTGCCATGCTTGACGGGGTAGTGGTGAAGGTGAGGGTGGTGGAGGGGGGAGTATAAAATATGGGCCATCATGGTTTTTAAGTGGCAAAGGAAAGTAGTGCAGCTGTGGAAGGTATTTGTAAGATAAAAAACAAGTCACAAACCAACTCACAAACACAAGCAAAGAAAGTAAGAGAGAGCAAGGCAGAGGGTAGGGCTTGAGGGTGCGGGCACGGACGAGGAGGATGCGCAGCGCCTCGGTGAAGGTGTCCTCGGCATCGGCGGAGAAGGGCATGTAGAGCGCCCTCACCCCGTGGTACAGCGCCAGGTGCTGCTGCACCCTCTTGCTGCCACGGGGGAATGGAAGGGGGGGGTGGGAAGGTGGGGGTGGGAGAGGGGGGGGGGTTGGGAGAGTTAAAAGACGCATATGAAGGTGTCAGGAGAGCAGCATGGCAAGAGAGAGAGAGAGGAGGGCAAGATACTCCGAGAGAAGCAAGGCGAGTGAGAGCAGGGCGAGTGGGAGAGCAGGGCGAGGGGGAGAGCAGGGCGAATGGGAGAGCAGGGCGAGGGGCAGACTCATTGGTGAAGGCGAAGGTGATGTGGGCGGGGCGGTAGTGCGAGAGCAGCATGGCCATGAAGCCCGAGCGCGTGAACACCAGCACCGACGCGCCCAGCGTGTTGGCCATCATCGTCGCGTGGAACGCAAACATCTCACTCGTGTGCCTCTGCCGTGGGGGTGGGAAAGAGCCGGGGAGGAGGAAGGGAGGGGGGAAGAGGAGGGGGGGAAGACGGGGGAGGGAGGCAGAGGGTGCAGAGAAGAAGAATGTGAGAAGGAAGGTGCACAAGGGCCGCAAGCGAAGGGCGGTAAAAAGCTTGGTTTTTTTTTTTTTTTTTTTTTTTTTTTTTGTTTGGGAAAATAGGGAGGAGTTGGGGGTGAGGGTGGAAAGGGGAGAATGAAGAAGTGGAAAGTGGGAGTGGTGTCAACGCAACGGCGCATGGAATGTGTACCTTGAATGCGCGGCCGAGGTTGGCGGGGGTGTTGGGGACGGACATGGTGGCCTCTGTGCGCACCGCCACTGTGTGCATCACCCTCACCGCCTTCAGTGGAAACCTGCCACATGCGTACAGAGACACGCACACATGTTGCAGACAATTTTTAGAATTAAATGTAAAGGTTGGCAGGGGTGGTGGGAACGGCCATAGTGGCCTCTGTGTGCACCGCCACCGCCACCGCCTTCAGTGGGGACCTGCTCCTCACACACAGCCAGTCATGCGGGCAGGCGGGGAGGAAGGTAGCGAGCACGTGAATGTGGCGGCAACCTGCATTTGGCATCCGCATGCGGGCGGGTGTATGTTGTAACAAGCCCATTGAGACGGCAACACACCTGCTCAGATGAAACAGACCGTACTCACACGCCTGGGAAACCCAATTCACGAGGGCGTACTGTGCAATTGTTTCTTATTTTTGTTTATTTCTCTAAGTAGATTACCACGATTGCTTGGAATATATCACGCCATGACCAGCGGCACTCACTTGCCGTGGGCCGTCTCCCCCGACAGCACTCACTTGCCATGGGCCGTCTCCCCCGACAGCATGATGGCGTCCGTGCCCTCCCTCACTGCGATCGCTATGTCCGACACCTGAGGGGGGATGAGGGGGCGTGGCAGGCGAGTCACGACAAGTCCTGAAACCCGACTACCCTACCATCGCCGTGTTCAGATGAGATGAGATGTTTCGCATCGCCATCGTGTCGCTTCGCTTGTTCCCTCCCTCACTGCGATCGCCAAAAGAGGACACCGGGTCGGGGTGGCAATGGCATTGGTGATGTGGTGATAGTACATAACATGCATTGGCATATGGAGGAATGGGAAATATGAGGGAGTGGGGAGAGAGGCACAGGTACTCACTCACACTACTGCCTCTCGCTCTCCCTCTCATAGAATCCACCTTAGCTTGAGAGCCTTGGTCTTTCAGCAACCAGAAGCAAGGTTGAGACCTTGTCATGTTCACAATGCGAGCACAGATAGCACGTGGCAGCATGCCACTTGAGGCGAGAAGGTGGCAGAATACATATAGAGGATGTAGGAAGAAGAAGAAAGAAAGAGTAAGGGTTGGAAGTGAAATGAGAGTGTTAGGAGAGGAGGGGAGGAGAGGAGACAGGAATGGAGAGCACAAGCGAAGAGGGGGCAGGAGGAGACAGGGGAGAGGATGGGGGAAGGAGAGGAAGTAGTGGGAGAGGAGAGGAAGTAGTGGGAGAGGAGAGGGCTGAAAAGTACCTCAGCGCGGGTGGGCGTGGGGTGGTTGATCATGGACTCGAGCATGTTGGTGGCCACTATCACCGGCTTGCCCAGCGCGCGACACACCCGGATGATCTCGCCCTGCCGCCAGTAGCGTGGTGCACGCCACGGGGTGTGAGGGGTGAGGGGTGAGGCATGAGTGATGAGGCGTGAGCGATGAGGCATGAGAGATGAGGCAGCACAGAGAGCATCACAGGTGAGAGCAGCGGCAGAGCGGCCAGTTGTGTATTGCGGGCAGAGATCATGCCTTGCAGCGGCCACGGAACTAGTGACACACAAGCAGCCAAGCAAAGGCAGCACTCCCCCTCACAGGGACGCATCTGCCGCAGCAAGCATGGCAGCAAGGTGAGGCTGGCAGTGGGGCACGCACCTGCAGCAGCGGCACCTCACCTGCAGCAGCGGCACCTCCTCCACCGGCAGCTCTGCTCCCAGGTCGCCCCGCGCCACCATGGCCTACCCAGGGGAACCATGGGGGGAGGGGAAAAGAGGTAGCGGTGAGGGTGAATGAGTTTTCCGGGCAGAGGGAGGGAGTTGGAGAAGGAGAGAGTGGAGAGTAGAGCAGCACGGGCTAGCATAGATGCGGTTGAAAATGGTTGGGAAGATAGAACGAGGAGAGAAGCTGGGGGAGATCAAGTCAGGAAGGAGCGGGCGGATGGAAGCAGGGAGAGGAGGGGATGGGGTGTGGTGGAAGCGGGTGAAGGTGCAGGGTGGACAATACGGAGTGGGATGGGCAGCACGAGAGTGTAGCACAACCACCACAGCCCTTCCCCCCACCCTGTTCCAACCCTTGCTTCCCCAACAGCAACCACTCCTCATCCCTCCCTCAGCACCATCCCTCCACCTTGCACTCTTCCCCCCTCCCTGTCCCCTTTTCCCTGTCCCCCGTACACCCCCCCACCCCCATTCCCCTTGGTCCTCCCCGCCCCTCCGCCCCCTGGTGCCCTGGCCGTGGGTCGCACCCCATCGGAGGCCTCGAGAATGGCGTGCAGGTTGGGCACTGAGTCAGCGCTCTCAATCTTGGCTATCACTCCGATGTCCGCACCCTGGCCTGGAGGGGAGGGAGGGGGGGGCGGGAGGGAGAAGGGGTTGGAGGAGACACGGGGAGGGTTGGAGGATGCATGCGGCACAGCATGCAGCCCACAACACGGTTGGGCACGGAGTCTGCACTCTCGATCTTGGCTATCACTCCAAGCGCCCTGGCCTGGCGGGGGTAATTTGAGGGAAGGGGGAGAAAAAGGAGGGGTCTATGTGGATTGGAAGGAGCAGGAGGAGGAGCATGTGGAGCGGAGGATGTGAGGTGTGTGTTGAGGACAGGTGAAAGACCAAGACATGCAGTGCCATGTAGTTCCAAGAACAGCCATGTGGTGCCACGAGGTGCCCAGCAGTGCAATGTGGCGCCATGCGGTGCAGCACGCACCTTTGAGGTACTCCTTGAGTTGCAGCACGACCTGCGCGTCCTTGACGAAGGAGAGCGCGTAGTAGTCCACCTTGTTCTCCACGCCAAACCGAATGTCCTCCCAGTCCTTGTCTGCCCGTGGATTGTGGGTCGGAGGAACAGGGACCAAGAGATAGAATTGTGAGCAAATTTGAGTGTGTGCGTATCTTAGTGAGCGATTGAGACGGGTCGATAGAAAAAAAAGATGGCACAGAGACAAAGAGAGCGGAGGGCAAAGGGAGACAAACATGGTGGCATGAGAACGTTTGAAAAAATTGGGTTGGAGAGTCGGAAGAAGGCCAACACGGACGACGACGACGACGACGACGACGACGACGACGACGACGACGACGACGATGATGATAGGGTGGTAGTCAGGGAGGGATAACCCACAAATATGCTCCATGCACCAACAAGTATGTAACATATTTGTCGCTTATCCACACACTGACCTGTGATGGAGGGCAGCGCACTGATCTGTGATGGAGGGCAGCGCACTGACCTGTGATGGAGGGCAGCGTGGCGGACTTGCCGCGCACGTTGAGGTGGCGGCGCGACTTGAGCTCGCCCCCATCCACCACCTCGCACACCACGTCCTCCGCGCTCTTGCTCTTCACCTGAAACGACATCATGCCGCCTGGACACGTGGTGAGGGGCGGGTGGGGGGACGCAAGGGCCGACGGTGGGGGGATGGGGAGGGGAGGGATGGGTAAATAGGGGATGGGAGAGAGAATGAAACTATCTTTCTTTTTACCTGAAACGGAATTATGTGGTGTGGAGGAGGAGGAAATGGTCAAGGTGGGTGGAGGCGGGTGAGGTGGGAGGGGGAGTTCAGAAGAGCGCAAGCAGGTGACGAGGCAGCGTGAGGTGCGGCACAAAACAGCATGCAGACGGTGCAGAGCGGTAAGAGGGTGAAATAATGACGGCAGCCAGGCAAAACAATCCCACTTCTGCAGGTGACGTCACCATGGTAGTGCACCGTCTGCGAGGATGACGTCAGCACGCCCAGACAGCCACCTCACCGTCGACGAGGATGATGTCATCGACGTCCACGTCATCGATGAAGCCATCGTAGTTGACGCTGACGGTGCGCTGCGACCCCACGCCACGCCGGATGGTGAAGGTGAAGCTCTCCCCACGCTCCAGCTCTATCGGCTGCGGCAGGTCCCCACTCCGCACCTCCGGCCCCTGCCGTGGGAAGGGGGGGAGAGGAGGGTGGGGAAGAGAGGTCGGGCGGTGGTGGGGAAGGGGGTCGGGCAGTGTGGTGGGGAGGGCAGTGTGGGGGGGAGGGCAGTGTGGGGGAGAGGGCAGTGTGGGGGGGAGGGCAGTGTGGGGGGGAGGGCAGTGTGGGGGGGAGGGCAGTGTGGGGGGGAGGGCAGTGTGGGGGGGAGGGCAGTGTGGGGGGGAGGGCAGTGTGGGGGGGAGGGCAGTGTGGGGGGGAGGGCAGTGTGGGGGGGAGGGCAGTGTGGGGGGGAGGGCAGTGTGGGGGGGAGGGCAGTGTGGGGGGGAGGGCAGTGTGGGGGGGAGGGCAGTGTGGGGGGGAGGGCAGTGTGGGGGGGAGGGCAGTGTGGGGGGGAGGGCAGTGTGGGGGGGAGGGCAGTGTGGGGGGGAGGGCAGTGTGGGGGGGAGGGCAGTGTGGGGGGGAGGGCAGTGTGGGGGGGAGGGCAGTGTGGGGGGGAGGGCAGTGTGGGGGGGAGGGCAGTGTGGGGGGGAGGGCAGTGTGGGGGGGAGGGCAGTGTGGGGGGGAGGGCAGTGTGGGGGGGAGGGGTGAGTGGGGGAATGAGGAAGGGGGTCCGAAGTTGGGCAGCCCACCTCTCTCCTCACTCCACCCATGAGCTGCACGCAGCACGCCGCCATTGCGCTCCTTGGGGCTTGGGGGGGGGGGAGAGGAGGGGGGAAGAGGGGTAGACGACGGGGTGAAGAGGGCAAGGGAGAAAGAGGGCTTGGGAGGAGAGAGCGAGCAGTGAGGACGCTGAAGAAATGAGATAGTGTGCGACAAGAGAGGGCGAGCGGCGCACCTTGGTGTCGAGCATGATGGCGCACCTTGGTGTCGAGCATGATGGCGCACCTTGGTGTCGAGCATGATGGCGCACCTTGGTGTCGAGCATGATGGCGAGGACGTTGCCGGCGCCCTGGCTGGCCTGCCCCTTGTTGTACTCGCGCACGAGGTCCACCACGCGGCGGTGCGACTGGTGGTCGCCGTGACTCATGTTCAGCCGCACCACGTTCATGCCCGTCTCCGCCAGCTTCCACAGCATCTCGCGCGTGTTGCTGCCCGGCACGAGTGGGGGAGCAGTGGGGCGACATGGGGGGAAGGAGGACGGGGGGGAACGGGGGAGAGAGAGGGAGGTTAGTGATCGGGGATGCAAGGGGAGAGGAGGTGGAGGGAGGAACGGACGTGCAAAAACCGCGTTGCAGCCACGGGGGAGGGAGGAAGCAAGCGCAGCTGCCGCTACACTCTAACATGCCCGCTGCCATGCCCGCAACAATGCATGCCCGCAGTGTGGCGGACGGCGCACCTGGCGGGTCCGCTAATCCACCGCAAGCGCCGCACCTGGCGGGGCGGATGGCGCACCTGGTGGGGCGGACGGCGCACCTGGTGGGGCGGATGGCGCACCTGGTGGGCCCGCTAATCTACTGCAGGCGCCGCACCTGGTGGGGCCGATGGCGCACCTGGTGGGGCCGATGGTGCAGACGATCTTGGTCTTGCGCTGGTACGTGGACTGCTGCGTGGCCGCCACGTCAGAGTCCATCAGCACCTGCCGCTCCGTCTGCTGCGCCGCCGCCGCCGCCGCCGCCGCCTCCATGTCGCGCACGAACGCCGCCTGCTCCGCCGCCGCGCGCTGCCCCTGGTATGAATAGTAGCTGGGGAGGGGGCGGAGAGGGGAAGGAGGAAGGCGGAAGGGGGAACGGGGGAAGGGATGTGGGGGGTGGGGGAGAAGAGGAGGGAGAAAAGGGAAGTAAGGAGTGTTGGAGGGGTTGAAGAGGGAGAAGGGAAGGTGAGAGACTACGTTTTGGGGAGAATTGAAATGGTTGGACATGCGGAGGGGTTTGGGTGCAGAGCGGTGTGTCTGAGGCGAGTGTGAGAGGGCGAGGTGAGGCGCGAAGCAGGATGCGAGTCGTTTGACGCATCCACGCATCGTTGACGAGCAGGTAACGACGACGACGTTCGCACGATATTCAAAGGAGCCGCGAAAAGCATCAGGACAAGAATAACAAAAACGCAAATTCTCTTGAAGCTCCGGGGTGTTGGCGCCGGAGGCCGCCCCGCTGTAACAAATCTTGCAATTGCAGTGGCGTTCCGAGACACGACCAAGCGTACAATCCCGAAACGAAACTCTCGAAATGTCGCGCGCGCTATTGCCACGCTGCCGTCGCTCCTCGAATTAAAATTCATCCTCTTTAGAAATACCCACTAATATCATCAACAAATTCCATCGCATTCTCGATCCCGTTCTCCGCCTCACCCGGTGGCGCGTCTGCCCGAGGCGCTGGTCTGAACGGCGTCGTCCTCGGGACTCACGGGCACCAGCGCGCCGATCCCCGTCCCTCGTCCTCATCCCCCGCACGCCGCCCCAACCGCCGCCGCGCATCCGCCCGCACGACGCACGTGCCGCTGCTGGGTCGCTGCGAGGAAGGGACGCTAAGGGCGGTGGAGGCGCCGTGTGTGTCGCCGTGGGAGGCGGGGAGGGCGCGAAGGCCCGCGAAGGACGCGAAGCTAACCGCAGTGAGGGCCGCCATGAAGGATAAACGCGGACACTGGAAACAATTCGGTGCGATACGCGACAGATCGCGATATATGGCAGCAGCAGGAGACGGAAACACGAGCTACTGGAGATGCCAAAACAAGGCTGTACCAAAACTGTGCGTGGGCTGGTTTGGGGATACCAGGGGCTTGTAATTCGGATCTTGCTGGGACGATTACTTGCGAATTGGATTCCCCTCCTTTGAGGCACTCTTTGTTGCCTTTCGAGGCAGCCGACGGTTTCATTGGCGGTTGCTTTTGTGACACAATCGACAGACCCGCTGGCAGGACGCTTTGGCCGGGGAATGGGGGAAAAGTGCGTAGATAAATGTGAGCTGGAAGGCGAACTGCGATTTGACGTGGCGGTTACGATGATGACGAGTAGGGTAGACCGCCCATGACAGTCAGACACGCGTCGGTAAAGTTCATCGTTGACGCACCATTGACGTGGAAAATGATTTCGTTTCACCTGGATTACTATTACACTAATTATTTACTACCACTTTATTGATAGCACCTGTTGAGTGTGTTAGATAGAATAACTTCAGTAGTTTGAAAGGGGAAGGAAACCAGACAACACTCAGTCAATAATTTGCTGGCATACTAGTACCACCAGCAGTTAATTTTCACCATACTGTTTCTTCAATGGTAAGGAGAGTGCAAAAGTCATTATGATAACCTGGTTTCTGCAGTCTGTACAACTCCAATCATCCAAGCATAACCCATCAGGCTTCCTAGTGAATTGATCGGGTATGGATAGCCTTACTCAACGTGGCTCGACTGCTCTAGTCCCCCCTGCTGGCTGCTTCCGGCGCTTGTGTGTGGTCCACGGTGGCCCTGCTGCGCCGTTCAGCCTCATGTGACACGCTCTTTACAAAGACCCGTCTCCTAAGATCCGGAGACATGTCTTTTACCGCGTCTGCCCGCTGCGTGAGTAGGTGCTCATACGAGGAACTGCGCCTAATTCTGGTCCGCATGGGAGTGCGGAAAGGGTGTGAATCAATGGACGCATGGGAAACATGAAAAATGGTGCGGGAAGTGTGGGCAGTGTGGGGAGAGTGGGAGGCGTGGAGAGAGTGAGAGTGGTAATGATGGGAAGCGTGGGGAGAGTGGGAGGCGTGGGAAGGATGGGAAGCGTGTGAAGCGTGGGAAGAAAGGGAAGGGCGAGGAGAGTGGGAAGCGTGGGAAGCGTGGGGAGCAGGTGAAGTGTTGGGAGCATGGGACACATGGGAAACGGGTGCAGCATGGCAAGCATGGGTAATGGGTGCAGAGTGGGAAGCATGGGAAATGGGTGCAGAGTGGGAAGCATGGGAAATGGATGAGGCATGGGAAGCGTGGGGAGTGAGGGAGGCAGTAGGATGCATGGCACGGTCGTGGTGCTGCCATGGCATTTCACCCGCCACACCCCCCTGCCCTGCGTGCGGCTCAACCCCGACATGCTCAGTACGAGAGCTCTGGCTGCCCTGGGAGCTGCTCCTCCTGGCCTCGGCCGCACTGGCCGAGGGCACCGCATCGCGCCCGCTGTGGCTCCACAGGTGCTTCAGGGACATGCGGTGGGCGGCGCTCCACTTGCGTGTGAGCGCAGGGGCATGTTGGTGAGGCGAGGCTGGCCCCGCGGAACTGTGAGCGCGCCTACCAGGGGAGAACACCCTGCGCGGACGCTCATACCCCCCGCTGCTTGCCGCACGCCCGTACCCCTTGCCCTTGCTGCCTGAGTCCACGCTGTACCTCCTCTGGCCTGCTCCGAAGCTGTGAGGGTCGGTGCGGGACCGAACCAGAGACGGTGCTAAAGACCACCTGCTCCCATGCCCTGCCTCCTCGCGCTCTCTGTCGCCCTCCTCCCACCGCTCCCTCCCTTTCTCTCTCAACCTGTCCGCGCGATGCCCCATGAGCACCCCGTAGCACCCCACCAGAGCAGCAGAGTCCCGGTCGGGAGACGGTGGAGAGCCGCCACCCCCACTGCCACCACTGCCAGGCGCCCTGCCCTGTGAGCCCCAGCTGCGGGTCCTCGCTGTGATGTGCTGCTCGTCATCACCTCTCTCCACCCCTGACCTGCTGCGCCGTACCACCAGGGGCGCGCTGTGAAAGATCGAGTCCAGGCCAGCCCAACCAGCCCGGGTGGCTTTGTTGGGGGTGGACGAGGTGGAAGTGGGTGTGGTGGAGTTGGGTGTGGTGGCGGTGCTGCTTTTTCTGCTGAGGGGCGAACTGATTTCAAGCCGACCGGTGTTCCACGTGTGATGAGGTTCCGATTTGCTTCTTACTAGACTGTTGCCGTCTTCCCCGTCGCCAATTTCGCTAGAGTAACTAGAACTCGCGTCAGCGTCAGCCAGCTCGCCAGCCAATCTGCCTCCCCTGTCGAAACTTGCATGAGCCGATGCACCCCTACTACCAGCCCTGGAACTTCGCCTTGTACCGATGCTGTCAGTAACGTGGACGTCATTTTCCCCCAAGGACCGCGAGTGTCGAACGCCACGAGGCGGCGAGACAGAGTGGCTAACAGCAACCTTCTTAATCTGCCCTAATCTGTAACCGTCGCGCTCGCTGTGAAACCTCGATAAGACTCGACTGGTTTGCACACTCGCCCAACTGTTCCTCCCACCACCACCCCCGTCGCCAGTAGCGCTGCTGCCCGTGCCCGCGCTCCACGTGGCACCGCGCACAAGCGCACGTGGAGCAGCGCCCATCACTGGCGAGGCTCGCGGCGAAGCTGCTGCTCTCACGGGCGCACTGTCGCACGGCGGCACGGGCCCGTGCCTGCCGCTGCTGCTGCTATCGCCACTGCCCTCACTCCCTGCTCGCTCAAATCGCCTCGCCCCTTCGGGTTCCCTGTCCCCCTCCTTCTCCTTCTCCTCGCCCTCCCCCTCCTCCACCTTGTCTTCATCACTTCCCGCGAGCGTAACGTAGTAATCATCTTGCCCTGCGTATTCTTGCGCGGAATTGTTGCCTTGGGCGGCAAACTCATCTTGGCCGGCAAACTCATCTTGGCCGGCAAACTCATCTTGGCCGGCAAACTCATCTTGGCCGGCAAATTCATCTTGGGAGGAATCGTCCTCCGTCGAATCGGAGCGGGCGTCTCTTGCACCGCCCTCGACCGGATCACGTTGCGTCGCGTCGTCGTCGCCCCCTCCCCGTGCCCGCGCCTCCTTGTGCCGCGCAAGCCCACGAGCCGCCCCGACGGCCTTGGCGGCCGCCTTGGCGGCGGCGGACAGCACGCCCCGCTGGCTCCCCGCCTTTCCCCCTGACGCTGACGCGTGCTCAGCCCCGCCCATACTCCCGCCGCCACTCCTGCAGCTCCCGCCGTTCGTCTCGCCGCCGAAAAACCCGCTGTTGCCGGCGGGTTGCGCGATCAGCTGAAGGAGGCTGTTGTCGTCGTGGCTCCGGCTGCTGCTGCCGCTGCCAGTCGTCCTGCTCGGCGCGTCCACCCCGTCGTGCTCCGTCCATCCCTCCACCGCGCGCTCGTTCACGCGGTGCCCGCGCTGCAGCGAGGGGCGTCGCAGCGTCACGACGAGCAGCCTCCACGCGTGGTGCGCGTGCGCCTCGCGCACCACGCGCAGCGCCTTCCGCGCGGATTTCTCCCAGTCGTCCGCGTCGTCGCGCTGCGGGGATTCGAGGATCCGCCATGGGTTGGGCCCCACCGTCGTGAACCCTCCCGCGTCGGCCCACGCCTTCACTTGCGGAAGCGCCGTCGCCGCGACGGCCGCCGTCTCCCCCGCCTCGACAAGCGCATCGTCCGCCGCCACCACGACCAGCTTCCACGAAACTTCCGACTTCAAGCCCGGCCGCAATCGCACGGGCAGCGCGAGGAGCGGCAGCACGGGGAACACGTCGCCGGGGTCGCGCTCCCTTGCGCCCACCTCCACCGCCTCCAACGGCGCGTTGTCCAGAATCACGGGAAACGCGGCGTCGGGCTCGGCGAAAGGGTCGCCAGAGGTGTCGCTAGAGACGTCGCCTAGAGGGTCGCTGAACGGGACACATGACACGGAAAGCGAGCGGAAGAAATCACGCCTGATCGTAACGACGGGTTCGCTTGGGGGGAGTGCGGTTGGGGTCGTTTCGGAGGGGGGAACGGGCGCGAGGACGCAGGTCTGCGGGATAATACCGACGTTCCACGGGCGCTGCTCCGCGTCGTCGACGCGCACGCTGCCGTCGAGCGACAGGCGACGGCGACGACCCGAGAGCGACGCGGCGAACGAGGAGGACTTGGCGGACGTGCAGATGAAGTTGAGCGGCGCGGGGAGCTTGCTGCGGGACGAGCGGGGACTGGCGGCGGCGGGAGTGGGGGAGAAGAGGACGACGTCGTGCCAGATGGAGACGACGAGACCCGCGCGAATGAGCGGAAGGAGGTTGCCTTGAGGCCGTTCCGACATTATGCGAGGCGACTGGGAGAACTATGTTGGGCGAAAACATGACTAATTATCTAGAGGTGAACGAGGTAGCTAGCGAGAATGTGGGAATGGCGGAACGGAACTTCACCACTAGGATGAAGGATTTTTCGAGTGTCGCTCAGCAATGGCGATGAAGCCATACGAGTGTAGTAGTTTATAGAATTGGAAAGCTTGCTTGTTTGAGCGTTCTTGGCACGCAGTCAAGCCTGACGACCCTCTGACGACTTGACGACATGCTGCCCCGGGCAGAAAAAAACTAAAACCCCATCGGATGGCATGCCATCCGAGGGAGCCTCAACCCTAAACACCATGCCTCCCCGCGTTTAGGGTTGAGGCTCCCTGACCGGATGCATGCCCGTCTGGGGTTTATTTTTTTTGCCCGCGGGCAGCGAGCTCCCCTGGGCGGGCTCGCTTGTCCGCTGAGATATATTCGGCGAAGCCAGTCACTTCTGGCTTGTCATCGTCGCATGTTGGGTAGCTTGGCTTGGGGGAACAATGTGCCCCTTTGAAAGCATTACTGTAGAAGCCCAACCTGTCCACAATCTGCAATACGTAAATAACTGCCACAACTAATACCTACTAAACTATTATGATATCACGAAGGCTAGTGTTACGAGTGCAATTGAGTGAGAGAACGACGATTGCACTATTGAAGCAACAAAACATCTAGCGAAGGAATGAGCGAATGTTATATAGGAACAAGCATGGTAATGGTAACGAGCGAAATGTAGGGCGCGAGACGGGCCTGGCGCCGAGGTTGGGAAATTGCTGAGGCGGGGGACCGGAGTATGAATTACTGTCAAAATGAAGAATGGATGATGCATTGATGTTGGTTGGGGTACATATAGCTAACCCTAAGTTTTGTACCCCCTAAGACAAACCTCACTATAGGCTACAACATTTGACACACCCCCATAGCCTAAGTGAGGGGTGTCTAGCAGAACCAAACGAGTACGGTCACAAGACCAGTCCAAGAAACGAAGCTCAGGGTGGATCACAACGTCACCACACAGTCTGAGCACAAACAACAGTGGCCACAAGGCCAGTCCAAGAAGTAACAGAGATATATAGAAAGCAAAGTAAACAGTACACTCAAGTCTAAGCAACACGAGAACCAGTGTCAACAAGGCCTAACTGCACACAGCACCTCTGGTGGTCACAAGGCGGAAGCGCCTTGGTGAAGATGTCTGCAGTGTTGGCCTCGGACTCCACAAACTCAAAGCGAGCCTGTCCACGCCTCTGCAACTCTCGCAGAAGAAAGTACCTGACGTGAATGTGCTTCACTCTGCTCTCCAGTCGTGGCTCTCGACAAAGGAGAATAGACGCCTTGTTGTCAGTGAACAAGGTCGGTGCAGAGCTCGGCCGCTCACCAAGGTCGGTGAGCAAGAAGGTCAACCAACGCAGCTCTTGTGCCGCCATGGCACCAGCGTAGATCTCAGCCTCAGCTGTAGAGGTCGAGACCGAAGAGGAGCGCGTGGACCGCCAGGAAACAGCTCCAGAACCCAGGCTGAAACAGTACCCCTGAGTAGACCTGTGAGTCTCAGCGTCGTCAGCGTAAGAGGAGTCACAGTGACCAGTAAGTACGACAGACTGCTGCCCTCCAAGAACTAGCCCCACGCCTGACGTCGTCGCTAGGTACTTCGCCACCCTCACAGCTGCTGTCCAGTGAACAGGACGGTGTCTCCCTGGCGCAACAAAGCGCGCAAGAACGCTGAGAGGGAAGGCGAGGTCCGGGCGAGTACAAGTCATCAGGTACATGAGGCAACCCACAAGCTCTGCGTAGGGACCACTAGGCTCGAACGGCTCGTCAGGAAAGGGTCCAGTGAGTCTGTGGTCAACAGCAAGAGGTGTGCGCTGTACTGTGGAGTGCTGAAGCCCGAACCGCTGAAGGACCTGCTGCACCATGTGGGACTGTGAAAGTGTAATGGTGCGAGCAGCTCTGTCCCTGGTGATCTGCAGGCCAAGGTAGTGGCGCAGCTCACCAAGATCAGTGCAGGTGTGTCTCTTCTGCAGTTCGGACTTCACGTGTGCCAAAGCAACCCTGTCAGGGGTGGCGAAAACAAGGTCGTCAACGTAGACCAGAACAAAGAAAGGTGTGGGGCCACGACGAACGAACAGCGACGGGTCAGCAGAAGACGGCTGGAACCCAAGGTCAGAGAGGGTAGAACGCAGGGTGTCGTGCCACTCACGAGGAGCCTGACGAAGACCGTAAACCGGTCGCCTCAGCCTCCACTGGGTCCCAGGAGGGAAAGAGCCAGTGAAGGCAGAGGGACGACGCAACCAGACCTCCTCGTGAAGACTGCCCTGAAGGAAAGCAGTAGAGAAGTCGAGAGAGTGTAACTCGTAGTCTCTCTGTGCTGCTACGTGTAGTAACACCCGAAGAGTGGTCATCTTCGGGGTGGGCGCGAAGGTCTGAAAGAAGTCAACTCCCTCGCGCTGACTGAAACCTCTAGCCACGTAGCGTGCCTTGAAGACCGGAGGAGATCCCGGTGGCCGCTTCACCCTGTAGATCCACATGCCGTCGACTACGTTCGCCCCCGGAGGGGGAACCTCATCGACGTAGGTGCCTGTGGATCTGTAGGAGGCCATCTCTGCGTCCATGGCAGCTCTCCACTGAGAGGCCCAAGGCCCTGACACTGCCTCAGCGTAAGTGCGAGGAGTCGGAATGTCAAGGGCGTCGGGGTCACCCTCAGGGGCAAGGAGCATGGCACAGAGATGAGGGGAAGCGGCCGCCAGGAACTCTAGCTCAAACTGCCTGTCCTCTAGGGCGTCACAGCCAAGGGCAGACACACCCCCGACGGCCAGAGGACTGGAAGGAGGAGCAGCCACAAGAGCGGTGGCGAAGTCAAGGCGGCGGGTAGAGGCAAACTCAGTGACTGCGGCAGTAAGAGCGGACACAGAGGACACAGAGGCACGAGGGTGAGTAACAAGCGAGGCGAGAACACGAGAGAGAAGAGGACGGTACGTGCGGTAGTAGTCAGTGACAGGAGTAGGGAGCGACGCAGTGAGAGCCGACTCAGGAGGAGACGGAAGCACAGACGGAGACGGACGAGGTGGACTAGAACGAAGTAAGGCAGTACGAAGGTCAGTGAAGGGAACAGGAGACGAGGGACGAGCACGAGGGGAGCGACGAGAGGCCCAAGTCTGAGAAGGAGGAGGGGACAACGAAGACTGAGAACGAGGGAAAACAGCGGGAGAGGGGTCAGGAGGAGGAAGCGGAGGACCAGAGACGGGAGGAGAGGGGGAGGAGGAAGGAGAGGGAGAGGGGAGACCAAGGGTCCGAAGACCCGAGACAGGAGGAGGAGACGGCAGCTGCTGCTGCTGCGGCTGCTGCGGCTGCTGCTGCTCCAGCGGCTGCTGCCCCTGCTGCTGTCGCTCCTGCTCCTCGAGCCGCTGCAACTCTCTCTCCTCTCTCTCCAACTCCAGCTGCTCCTCACGAGCACGGCGAACACGAGCCTGGAACCTGGTCGGGTAGGGGTGGGGGGAAGGAGTAGTGTCCGGGGCAGCGGCAGCCCCAGAGTCGACCTCCGAAGCACCAAGCACACCACCCCCAGAGGCAGCACCAACACCAGCTCCAGACCCAGGCTCTCCAGAAACCGAAGGGACACCCTCACCCCCAGACGCAGCACCCCCAGACTCCGCACCAGCACCCCCAGACTCCGCACGACCAGTACCAGCCCCCGGAAGACAAGAGTCCTCTGCAACCCGCGGCTCAGCTCCAACTCCAGCACCCCCAGAACCAGAGACCTGTACAGGGACAGTCGCAGGACCAACCTCCCGAGAGGGAGCACCTGCAGGAGGCGGCGAGGAAGACTGTGGGGAGGGAGGCTGTACAGGGGGGGCTACCGAAGGGGGAGGGCTAGCCTGAGACACACCAGACGGGGCTGGACCAGGGGGGGAGGCTGTACCGGGGGAGCAGGCGGGGGAGCGGCTGTCAGGAAGAGGGGGGGAGGAGGAACCGGGAGACCTCGACTGGGGTACCTGACGTAGTACGGGGTGGACTCCTCGAAACGGACGTCACGGGAGTCAAAGAACCGGTGAGAGGGAGGGTGGTAAAAGGTGAAGTCAGAGGAGTCCTCAGGGAAACCAAGGAAGACACAAGGAACGGCGCGAGGCGAGAGCTTGTCCGCGGAGGTGTCGCGGACAAGAGCCAAGCACCCCCAGACACGAAACCTCGACGCGACACCAGGGGACCCTGTCCAAAGACTGGTCGGTGAAGCCTCCGGCCGAGAGACGCGTGGCCAGAGGTTCAGCTGGTGCGCGGCGTACCTGACTGCGTATGGCCACAGGAAATGGGGGGCACGGGCGTGAGTCAAGGAGGTGCGGGCAATCTCCATGACCAGGCCTATGCGACGCTCAGCAACCCCATTCTGCTGTGGGGACTCCGGAAGCGTCCAGGACTGACGAATGCCCTGTTCGCGACAGAATCCAGCGAGAATGCCGGAGCGAAACTCGCCCCCGCGGTCGGAGTGGAGACAGCTGACACGACGACCACGAGTGTCCTGGGTGGTAAGCAACCACCTGATCAGCGTAGAAGTCACCTCAGACTTCCTCGCCAGGGGGAACACTGTGGTGTAGCGGGAGTAGTCGTCAACGACCACAAAAAAGAAACGCTCACGCTCAGGGCCAGGGCGAGGAGAAGGGCCCCAGACGTCCAAGTGCAGCGTCTCAAAAGGCTCGGTGGCCGGACGAAGGGAGGAGGAGTGAGGGGTGGCACGCAGCCTACCCTCGACGCAAGGACCGCACGGTGGTGCAAGGGACGGCGGCAGCGACGGCAAGACACGCGGGAGACTGTGTATCGGGTGAATTTGGGCAGTTGGGCGAGTCAGTGCGTCGGCGCTGTTTGAGGCAACTTTTAAAAAAATGACTGTGTAGTAGAAGTTTGACTCGAGGAAATTGGGCCAGCGGATCTGTTGTTGGTTGAGGTGCGCTTGCGCTCAAAGATATTTTAGTGATCGGTGGTCTGTCCGTACTGTCACGTC